TGTTGGTTGTAAGGGATGTGAGTATAGAAGGAGAGTACTCGTACTTAATCAAAAATCAATATTTTCACAGTTTTTGATCGAACACCTTTTGAGCTTGTCAAAAAAAATGAAATTTTTACAATTTTTGACCTTGTCAAGAAAAAATCAAAATTTTCATGATTTTTGACCGTACTTCACCTTACAAAAAGAAACCGAAATTTTGACGATTTTTAAGCGAAGTTGTCACGATTTTGACTGCACTCTGAACTTATCAAAAGCACTCAAAATTTTCACGAAAATTTGGTTTTTTTTTTTGATAAAATATGCACTGACAACATATCTAACAAAAGTAATTGTTTAACTATAAACTGCCTCTAATTGTCATTGTATCCCCTCCCTTATCTTATTAATCTTTGAACATTGTTTCATTTATATGTGGGTTATCGCTACTCTGTCCATAATATTATTATATAGCATGCATGAATAGAGAAAATATATTGAGCGTGGAATTAAAGGATCTTAGAATATTTGGTTTTTGGTTATTCCTTGTTTAAAAATTTTGTACCTAAACCCTAATATCTATATCTGTTTGTTAAACAATTGGATAATAAGAATAACCTTTTTTAAAGTTTAAATATTTCTTTAAATTTTCTTATACAGAAATTCTTTGAGTTTATTAAAAATTTATTTAGTATATTATTATTGAGTTTAGTGTTTTAGAGAAATTTTTGTGGTAAAAAATTAAGGTCTTTCTTTTCCATCTAATTGAAAGGATAAAGGGAAAATGTAAAAACAAAATAATGGAAAATATTAAAGTGAACCTTAACATTATTATATTTTTTTTTGTTTTTTTTGTTTTATGGAGACTTTCATTTAAGGCTGTGACCCTTTTCGTGATCAAGTATTTTAATATACGCAAAAAAATTGAATATATTGAATAAATTTTCTATTTCTAGAGTCAAGAAATTTGTTATTAGCATCAATACAACATTTAGATATTGCATATTATGAATTTCTATCCTACATGACTACTTGTTGAATCCTTAAACATAAATTAATTGTACAAAATAATTATGGTTAATTTTTAGAAGAAATCATAATGTTAAAGTTGAAAATAATTTAATAAAGAATATTTAAAATTTATCAAAATTTATTAGGGCTATATTAGGTTAAGGGAAAACCTTAATTCGCTGCTCTAAGATTTATGGAAATTATAATAATAATATCCTTGTTCGTTTATAGGTCTATTCAAACAATAAATTAAAAAGTAATTGAGGTAAATTCAATAAAATTTCATAATACTTTTTATATCTTAAAGTGAATGGCATTTAATTTGAATGTTATTAAGACAACATATTCGGCTATCAATTAGCTACTTGAACTAAACAAATTATAAGAGTAGCATTGTCATTTATTTCAAAATTTTTAAATCGTGTTTTAGAAAACACTCAAGCCATAGTTATTAAAAGTAGTTGGAAAATTTAACAATTTTTATTTACGATATATATCAAATCTCATAGAGGAGTTTGTCTGGGGCATATGTGAGCCTACATAAAAATGAGTTTCTGTTAAGAAAAAATGTAAATATTTTTTTGTTATATTCGAGTTAATCGTCTTTTGAGCTTTTTACTAAGACAAAAAGACGATGAATAAGGTACGTGCTTTAAAATGAATCAAAAATCTTAAGGTCTTCATGATAAAGATCAGAATATTTTTGGATTAACAAACACATTTTTAAAAAAAAATTGTGTTTTAACTGAAATAGTGAGTTATTCACTCGAAATGGAGAAGACTTATAAGATTATATTTTTAGTATATTAAGCACAAATTGTGAAGTAGTTTTCAATAAATTAATCAGGTTTACATTGGTAATTAAGGCCTAAGGGTTTTGATATGTTCGGCGCCCTACATAGTTACCAAAGTGCACCCTTTTCCCTTTTCAAAGCAATAAAAATGAAAATTGCGCATAATAATCAATAATTTCTTGCAACTTTATCATATTGAATGCAAGATTTAATCATAAAACTAAAACCTGGAATGAAACTTTCAGTGTTTTGTTTTGTAACATTTGTATATATGTATATAGGTAAATGTTATTCAAAAGTTCATTTCGGTCTAAATAGAAAGAAAAAACAAATTCTTATTCTATAAAATTTAATATATTTTTTTTAAGTTTTCAATAACGCCCATGTTTTCCGATGCTCATTGCAAATCCCTCTTTTCCTATTCACATTGCTTACTTGGCATATATGGTAGATCCGTCCCTGAGTAAATTATAATATAAAACTTTGAACAATATTATTAAATGTGATCAAATAAAGAAATTATGTTTCAAACATGGAAATTTTAGTCCCTGAATATTGCTCTTTTCCATCAGATGTTCATATAAAAATGTTATACGTAAACATTATTTGAAAGAAATTAAATATTATTTGTTCTTCCCTAAAAAATCGTAGGCAAAAAAAAATTTAATAATCATAATCATTATCATCATCAAAATATTATGATTATCTTGATAATCATACAGAAACCATCAATTTTAATAAATGTCTTAATATTATTTTGCTTTTAAAAATTTCATATTATTTATGGAATATGTTCGCAATAGAAACACTTCATTTTTAAAGGATATTTTAGTTTAGAGATAGAAAAAAAAATGTCACAAACAAATTATGATGAGAAATGTTATAAAAGATTTTCTCCCCTTACATTTTTCCCTACACTTTACTAAAAATAGTTTTCTTTCTTAAATTTCTTCAAAATATTTTCTCGAATATCTTTAATTTGAAAAAAAAAATTTTTTGATTTCCATTGAGACCCATTATAATTATGTACATATTTTGTATGGATGTAGATTGTGTAGCTTAATACTATATACAAGTTGTGAGCTATGTTATATTTTATTTGTCACTAGAAAGTGTTCAAATGTAGCACATCCTTGAAATTTTTCTTAGAATAGTCAAAGTTGATTTCCTGATCTATGTGATGAAAAAAAAAAGAGAAAATATTTTGGAGAAAAAAATTCATAATTTATTTTTTTGTCACCTCCCATAGATATTTACACAAAATTTGATGTGAAATCGTAGTGAAATTTAAATAAAATAAAATTTTTATAATATTTACATTTTAATATTGCAATGTAGCTAAAATTAAAAGAAAAATTATTATTTCTCTACAAAAAAGTAACTTTTAAAGATGAAAGTATTAAGAATGTTTACATAAGATTAAAATAGTTCCCCAAAATATTTTATTTACCCGAACAAATCACTTGTTATTACTATATGACTATTACTTAAAAATTTATTATGATTTCCCTAAGGCAGGCATATAGTACTTTGAGAATACTGAATATAATGAAGAGAATATCTTATATAAAAATTTTGAAACTCAATTGTTTATAAGGCTCACCCATTAAATTATATTAAATTTTAATTTGGTTGGAGTTCACTTCAACTGTTAACTGAATTATTGTCCGTCATAAGCATTGTAACGTCCTCCTATATTAAGGTTTTGACACAACTATTCTGTTTAATAGTAAAGAATACAAACAAAAGTTACAAGAATGGTTTGCAGCAGGTATAATTTATTAAACTGTATTACTAGGTCTCAAAAATTCGCCCTCTCTCTTACAGCATGAGTCACGAATAAAAACGTTTTCTCACTTATTTCAAGAATAAAATCCACTGATTTTGACGTTACATGTCACGTAGTAGCTTCATAAAATACAAAAACGTTCGGATTTAATAAATTTTCCTTCCGCTACAGTCTTTTCAAATACATGGTTTACATATTATTATTTTTTACGGCATAGGTCATAATGAAAATCTATTTCATCCCTGTAATTATGCAGAAACCTTCAGAATCTCCTCTCTTTTGTAGATCAATGTTACCCAGAAAGTATTTTATACTGAATCTCTCTGAATATTGCTATCTCTAACATCTCTCTAACATTTCTAAATTATCTCTGAATGTTGCTGAAATAATTTAAATTTCAAAATTATTACTGCTCTTAAGCTTTGCATTTTAAAATAACGTACAATCTATAAATAATTTCAAAAAATTTACTCAAGCTACATAGTTCTACCAACTCTACCCACTTCATCCAAGCTCATATGGCCATAAAATATTATAATTTTTACTTCCCTAACATAATTTTTAAGCATAGAAAAATTTTGCTGATGAAGAAAAGATAAAATGAACAAAGAAAAAAAATAAAAATCAGGGTAGCACTAAAAAGGAAAATATAATTTTTTTATTTTGGTTTTCTGGATCTTAAACACTTCACAGAAATAATCTTGATGTCAGAGAAATGTAGTGGAAGGGTAAATAAAATTAAGAGAACAAACAACACTAAAAATCATAAAAATTTTTTCAAGCATGAAAAATTTTTCCCTTTTAGTTCTTTTCTTTAGTCCTGGTTGACATTTTTGCAAAAAATTTATTTTAAAAATATTTTTTTTTTTAAATTAATAATTTTATAATGTTCATCTACCTGTACAATATTTTTTACGTGATGAAAAGTCATGAATTTAATTTGAAGATGATTTATTCCTTTAATTTGAGCTCAATATTTTTGGTATAAAAATTAAATTGTGATATTTCTCATGGAAATCTTAATGATTTCAATTCTAGAGAGAACAAATAATTTTAATGCTATAAATTGTAATTAAAGTAAATGGATTTTTCTAATAGTAATAGTAAGGTTGAGACCCCACAATAAAAATTGTTTAAAACCAATTCAGAAGTAATACAATAATTAATGCCCTCTGCCAAGAGTGAAAATTCGTGAATTGAAACTGAAAACCATATTACGATAAAAAGTTTAAACTCGAAATATAATTGCATCATTGATCATCTTAAAATATAAATGCGTATCTCAAAACTTCCAGATCAACTCATTGACTGCAGTATAAAACTCACATTGAGATCAACTTACCTATATTTTTGATATCCTGTTATTATTCTTATTATCCTTATTATTCATAATTTTTTATTTAATTTCTTTTTTCTTTATTTTACAGCACCAAAAGTTATGATCGTCGATGAATATGGTATACCATTACAAGAGAAATATTATGAAATCGATTCAACATTACAATTATCTTGTATTGTACGTAATGTTGTTATGTCAACATCAGCTGTATTTTGGTCACATGGTGAACAAATATTAAATTATGATTTAATAAGAGGTGGTGTAAGGTAAGATTCTTTGTTTTTTTATTAAAAATTAAATTTTAAATTAAAAAAATTTATATTTATGCACAAGATAAGTCAAAAATTATATTCAAAAACTTAAATTGCGGAAGCAACTTACCTCAACAACATTATAAGCCATACCGCTAAATGTCCCTTGTTACAAGATTTCTCATCATTCTTAAAACAGGCTACAAAAATATTTTGTTCTATTTTAAGTAATTTCGCAAGAGGAACCAAAGGCGCTGTTTGTGGCTCAAAAGAGCATAAGGTATTAAGAGTTAAACTCATTTGTAATTTCTGGAAATTGAAGTGAACACTCGATTCTAGGCGGGAACAGATTGGATTAATCACATGACGCTGAGATAACGGACGTTTCGAAGATTGCTACAAGGTGACATAGACATATTCCTTAAAAGAATCTCTAATCGACCATTCGATGATTACCTGTTGGTAGCAGGTTGCTCATTTATGCTAATGGGGGTACAGTTGATCTGTCGCGGACATGTTCACATATCAACCAACCAAATCTTTAAACAATGACGGATTATTTTTTTATATTTTGGTTACTCCTTAAATTTTGACAAGTCTACGATTTTATGCATAATATAGACCAGTTCTAATTGACTGCTTTACTCTCATCTTTTTCCAAGTTTAAATTATGTAAGAGTAACAAAGGACAGGATTAATTGGTTTCAATTAGAAACAGCTTTCGTGTATCGAAATCATTCCTAAAACGACTTTAATTTTCTAGTCTGTATAGCATTCTGTATATTTAAAATGATAAAAGCCCTTTCTTCTTTTTATTCTCTTTTATTTCATTATAACGTCATTTTTCTATATTAATGTACACAATATGCAAATACAAATGCTGTATAGAAATATAGGAGCACACATTAATGTATATAGGATGGTGTCATAATGTATTCTTATTTTCCGTTTTAAGAATTTTTCTCATCATTCGTGTTGTTTTTGTATGCCCTTAAGGTGCTAACGAGTTTTGAATTATCCTGTAACAGGAATCAACTATAGAAAGATTGAGAGAGAGCGAGAGAAAAAAACATAGAACAAATAAAAAGCGACCCTTATAAAAATGATGCAAAACATTATTACAACGATCACGTTGTCTTACACAGCAGGTTGATGGTAAATTTTTTCCATTTTTATCCATAAAAAAATATGTTTGGGTGTAAAAAAAAAAAATACCTAATGAAAACATTGTATTCACAAAAAAAAATAGGAGAGAAAAAGGAATTAAAAATTTGTAGAATCAAAAATGACACCATTTGATGTGAAAAGAAATTTTCCATTTTTTTTTTGTTTTTGTTTTTCAAGGATATGCAAATAAAACGTCCCAATGTAATCTAATTATGCATTATTCTTTTTTTTTATTGTATTCTAACAATCCTTTTTAATATTAGAGCGTAGGAAGGGAATTTTGTTGTTAAAAGTAAAAACGGAGCAAGAATCTTATGTTCATCATCAGGTTTCTCTCAAATTCAAATATTTTTATTCATCTTTTATAAGAACAAAAAAAAAATATTCCATTTCTTTTGCACTCAACAATATTATTAAAGATTTTTTAAATGTAAAAGAATAAATTTGATTAAGTTCCAATTAAAGAAATCGGAATAATTTACTCATGAATGTAAAATTTGAATGCGAATGAATAGAATTTTTATTTGCCATACAATTTAAATGTAATTGAAGGTTGGGCCCAGTCTGTAATATTCTAATTTTCAAAAATTCATATTGCATATGGACGCATACAAATTATTTTCTGAAAATATTTGATTGCATAATCTATTCGTTTTGTCCGAACACAAATAATATTTTGTTTCGTTGAATCACAAAGCAAATTTATATCCTAGAATATTATAGTAATCTCACCTAATATAAATAAATTCATGTTTCGTGTATCTAGATATGCAAATTTAAAAAAAAATATAAAAATTTACATTTTATAATAGTTTCGAGGATGCGACGTAAATTCAAAAAGACACCTAAGATTAATTTGCAACAAACTGACTACAATGTAATAAAAAATCAAATTCATATTTTTTGATTAAAAATTCTAGGATTTCTTTTTTTGCTTTTCCCAATATTGTATAAAATAAATTCACCAAATTTAATTAGAATTTTATACAAGAGAACCTACAAAGTAGCAATTTCTAATTAACAAATTTTCAACTGAAATTTTACAGTAAAATAAATAATGAACACAATTTGGATGCGTTATAAAAACCTAACTTTATATAAGAAATTACATGGAATATAATTGTATATTTGCAATAACTGCCTAGCTTGACGTAGGTTTGATTTATTGACAAAATATTATTTTGTACAAATCGCTCAAAATTACTTTTGTAATTAAAGCCTAAATCAACATAGCGGTAGTAAAATGTCATAGATATTAAAAAATTTGCCATTAATTTTGATTCGTAAAAAGAACCTTTCTGGAGCCTTGTCAAAAAACATAAAAATATTGTCTGCTGTTAAATCCATTTAAACAATTATTGCAAATGGCACATAATTACCATTTCGAGTTGGACGATGTGTGATTTCATAATAACTCTGGCTACAACAGTCATACAACCACCAAAATTTTTAAGCATATAAAACGAAAAACGAAGATTTTGCTGATATACATATCTCATTTTTTTCTTAGCTGGAGGCAGGCAGTGTGTCCACTGATATTATTATTATATGAACCTAATAAAATTGAAAAAACAAAATTTATAAAGTTTCATTCAAGATAGTATTAATAATATGGTCAGGGTAAGATTTTCCGAGAAATGTTGTAGGGAAAATCATAAAAAAACTGATAATGGAAAAATATATGGTGAATATACCGTATAAGAGAGGTCAGGTTTCGATACTACTCTCATTTTTTGTTACATTCTAGGCTGCTAAGTCAAAAATTCCAAATAAATTTTAAAAATTATTTTTTTTTTTGTGTATAACACTGTAATATCTTTGGGAAAAAGCATTTGAATCTTGAACTGAAGCTCATAATTTTGAGTAAAATCATTATATTTTAATTAGCAAAAATTGAATCGAATTATAGTAAAAGTAATTTCTTGTTTTTTATTTTGAAACTGTGTACAATTTCCAATTGTGATTGCAAGATGAGGACTCGGAAGAATATACTCTAAATTATAACAAAAATAATAATACTATTGTGATCGAATCAGCCTTTTTCATACGGAATACAAAATCACATATTAAAGTAGATATTCAATAATTTTAACAATATTTCATTTGGCTTAAACAATTTCCTAGTATATTGTGGGTATCGTACGCATTACTACTTTAAAAGTCGCTAAAATTTTCTCATAATAAATTTTTCTTGTTATTGGTCTTACTGGCTTAAATTTTTAAGTCCGAGAATACTACTTCAAAATTTTTTTTAGCACTCCGGCAGATTAACGTTCACAAAAAACCTGCCGCTAATCCCATGATTCATCTTAATATTTTTATCATTTTAATTACTACACAATAGAGACATAATGAATTATTGTGTCTTCTTAAAAATTTAAAGGCGGAAAAAATAAACGGAGTCATTTAATAATTTGCTCTATATTTCAAAACTATTAAAACATTTTTATATTTAAGTATTTTATTTGTACTGTCTAGTAATGGAATTGGGTTGGAAATAATTGGTTTCCGTTTAAAAATATTATTGTGGTACATTTTCAATTGACCGAACTCTACACAAGACATACAATAATATCCACTAACATAGAAAATTTATCATTATAAATAAAGTGAACTCGAAAAAATTTCTGTAAAAAAAAAACATTTAAAAAAATGTTTCAGCATTTTTTTTTTCATTCGATAAAAACAGAATGACAATTGAAAGACCCAAATAAAATGAAAATGAGAAAAAAAAAGAGAAATTACTGTAGCATTTTTAAAACAATAGGAAACAGAAATATTAATAGAAAATGGTCAAAAATGAACAATAACTATTGTCCTTATTTTAAGTTTTTTTTTTTTTTTATAACTGCAATATTAAATTTTTCTCCCTTACATTTATAATTTTTAAGCTTTTCTTCCTTAATAATTTAAATTGTAATTTTGTATATAGTACAATAAGTGAAAGCAGGGACGAAGCCAAAGAATATTTTTATTAAGGAAAGGGAGCTTATACAGATTCAAACAAAAAAATTCAAATTTTAGACAATAATAAAAATTGCATAATTTTAGGATTATGCGTAAATATAATAATATTATTAATGATTCTTAAGAAAATTAATGAAATTATTTTCAGATATGAAAAACTGGAAGATAGCTAGTTAACTCAATTTTGTTTCTCCCTTTTCCCACATTTTCATAATTTTAACCGATTATTTTAGAAAAAAAATTGCATAGCATTAGGCGAAAAATAAATAAAAATAGCTACATTCTTTGCAGAAAAATTGAAATACATCGATTTTTATGGTGTGCTTCAGTCACCTTAATTATTTATTATGAAAATTGGCATGAATTCGAATTTTTGATTGTTTTCTTTTGATAACGAGTATTCTAAAATTTTGATCAGTACCTACCCTTGCTCAGAATAAAAATGAATATTCCACAAAAATTTGTACAAAATGCTACATTTTAGTTAAATCTGAGCCTTGAGTTTAAAAGTAATAAAGGTTTAGGAATATTTTTCTTCGAAATAAAAAAATAATTTTAGTTATTTGCATTGACAGATCTGACGGCAATAATATTGCCTTGTTCATTAAAATTTTAAATAAAACGTGGCCCACACTGGTATTTAAAAATTATTGTTAAATAAAAACTTAATTTTGTTTTTTTTTTTAATGTTTTCACTAAAAAATTATTGTTATTGTTATGCACGAGTTGACAAAATGTAATGACCGCGAAAGCTATAAAGTACATTCACACAAACACACATATAAATAATTTTTGAAAAAAAAAATTTTCTAAAGTGGAATACGGGGAAGAAAAAAATAATTGAAATGAAAATAATTTGCATAAAAAAAAGACGAATAATA